CCCAGAAATCCTGGCCAGCAGAGGTGGTGGTGAAGGCTTCTGGGAGTTGTAGTCCAAGAACATCTGGAGGCCCAAGGTTGGGGACCACTGCTCTAACTGCCCAGGCAAAAGAGCTACAAAGAAGCAGCCTCGCTGCCACCTACAGTAGAAATTTGAATTTCCCGCCCTTTTCCCCAGCCTTTTTTCTGTTCATAAGTCAAAGCTCCATTCACAAGTCAAAGCAAAATGTTGTGAACAGAGCTGTTCGTAACTCGAAATGTTCGTAGGTCAAGGCACCGCTGTATATCTTTCCTTGGTGGTTTCTTCCTATTTGAAAATACCAAAAAGGCCTCTCTAAATGCTTATCTATCCAATAACTAAGAGGTTGACATTCAGAAACGTCCTAGTATTTGAGTCCAATTCTTTTGGTTTTGGACCTATTCATCACTGGAACACAGCCTCCAAAAATGCGTCAGAAATTGATTCAGGCTTTCAGGCCATAAGACATCCCCACCCTTCATCTAAAGCCTGGGAAGTATCATCATCCCTATTGCCACCAGGAAGATCCAGGAAAAGCCTTTTTCTCCATGGGACAAAAACTATGGTGCTATCTGGCTCTCACTCCACATGCTGGAAGAAAGTGAAGGTTGATTGCCCCTGTAGTCCCTTTGCAAATGTCACAAAAGAGGAGCTGAAACAATCAAAGCAACAGTAGCCTACAGCAGGGATTATCAAAGTCTTACCCTTTCAGTCTAGCCTATCATCACTGGCTAAGCACAAACTCTGGTTGGCTACTAAGGACAGGGGACGACAGAGGACGAGAGGGGAAGAGAGAAGACGAGATGGATGGACAGTGTCATTGAAGCTACCAACATGAATTTGACCCAACTCCGGGAGGCAGTGGAAGACAGGAGGGCCTGGCGTGCTCTGGTCCATGGGGCCATGACGAGTTCGACATGACTTAACGATCAAACAACAACAACTAAGGACAGCAAAAATCCGTGATGCCCAAGACCTGCATCTGCATATCACTGGCAAATCTATTGTTGTTGTTGTTGTTGTTGTTGTTGTTGTTGTTGTTGTTGTTGTTGTTGTTGTTGTTGTTGTTGTTGTTAGTGTTAGTGTTAGTGTTAGTATTATTAGTATTATTAGTATTAGTAGTAGTAGCAGCAGCAGCAGCAGCAGCAGCAATTTATTATTAATCTACACCAGAGTATATTCCACTAAAATCAATGGTATATAAATGTCCAACACATGGATAAAAGATAAAACTTTTTATCAAAGAATTACAATACTAAGCAAGAAAGTATGAAATAACCAATTGATGGATATTTGCAGATGATACCACTCTGATGGCAGAAAGTGAGGAGGAATTAAAGAACCTCTTAATGAGAGTGAAAGAGGAGAACACCAAAAATGGTCTGAAGTTCAACATCAAAAAACTAAGATCATGGCCACTGGTCCCATCACCTCCTGGCAAACAGAAGGGGAAAATATGGAGGCAGTGACAGATTTTACCTTCTTGGGCTCCATGATCACTGCAGATGGTGACAGCAGCCACGAAATTAAAAGATGCCTGCTTCTTGGAAGGAAAGCGATGAGAAACCTAGACAGCATCTTAAAAAGCAGAGACCTCACCTTGCCGACAAAGGTCCGCCTAGTCAAAGCTATGGTTTTTTCCAGTAGCAAGGTATGGAAGTGAGAGCTGGACCATAAAGAAGGCTGACTGCCGAAGAATTGATGCTTTCAAACTGTGGTGCTGGAGGAAGATCTTGAGAGTCCCCTGGACTGCAAGGAGAACAAACCTATCTATTTTGAAGGAAATCAACCCTGAGTACTCACTAGGACAGATCCTGAAGCTGAGGCTCCAATACTTTGGCCATCTCATGAGAAAAGAAGACTCCCTGGAAAAGACCCTGATGTTGGGAAAGTGTGACGGCAAGAGGAGAAGAGGACATCATATCCAAGGTGGTTGGACAGTGTCATTGAAGCTACCAACATAAATCTGACCAAACTCCGGGAGGCAGTGGAAGACAGGAGGGCCTGGCGTGCTCTGGTCCATGGGGTCACAAAGAGTTGGACACGACTTAATGACTAAACAACAACAACAATATGTACCTGTACATTAACATAAAATCAAGTATATTAATTTGCTGAATTTTTTGTCTACAGCTCCCTGAAACTTTCAATGAATATTCTCTGCTAATTTCTGAGCAAACTGTAGAGATAGTTTAACGGAGAGAAAAGAAACCAAAATTAATCTATGCTTTTTAAACATGTTAATCTTGGTTTCCCCTCTTTTTATCTCATTTATTTAGTGTCACAAGGTGACCTGGTGGGGAGAAGACACAAACAGAATACAGAAAAGATACAAACCTACAGAGTTTGAGAAAATAGAGAAGATTTGCAAATGTAAGAAGGTGAAAGCATATCAGGTTCTGAAGATGCGCTTTGTGTGTATTCCATGGAATATTTTGTTCCAGGTTCTGGACTCCAATGCTGAGAATGATTTAAGAAGATCAGATCAACCTTGCTTATCTGAGCTTGTATTATGTATAATTTCATAATAAAGATTGCAAAGGCATGGCCCAAATCCAATTGCTAATCTCAAGCATTAGCAGACTTGTTCAACCAGCTGCCACATGGTATGTCAACACTTATATAAATCCCATTGATTCCATGAGTGTACTCTATATGAAATTAGCTAATTGATTTAGACTCACGTTTTGACTGACTTAGCTAAAGAAAGCAAATCAAATATAAAGAGTGCAATACATTTTGCAACAAAAGGCAAAATTTTACATTTTAAGCCTAAATAAAGTTATGATGGATGTTTTGGCTTGAATGCCATTTATTTTCAGTTTTAAAGAAGAAACATTTGTTAAGTTTGCATCCTGTTCCAATAATATAAATGGAGAAGTATATGCAACAGTCTGATCTCTTGAGCAAAAGCTGGCACTGCACATAACAGCAGGACACTCATCACTTTGAGAAGAGATAAAAATAAGCAATGAAAAACATGTTGATGTTATGACAGAACAACACCACTAAAAGCAAGTCAGTCTGTACTCTGAAAGGGGAACAATGAGCACACACATTAGGATGTAAACGAACATGCCAGCAAATCATTTACAAAAGCCGTCCTTTTCCAATTAAATGCCATGACCTTGCAGTGCTAGAAGGCTTTGAACAGCTGTAATTAAAAATGACATGAGGCTATCCAAAGTGCCTTAAAGTTCATACACGCAGACATACATATATAAAGTGTTACGTTGTCAGCTGCTGTTTCACATTACCCCTTCACAGCCACTGGCAGCTGTCAAATTAGTCACTGTAATTCACTTTGGAAATCACTAGAACCTAAATATCCTTTGACAACCAAATACAAGGCATGCAAGAGATAAACACACAGAATTTGATTCTCAGGTAGGTAGGTAGAGTTATTGATTGATCGATGGATGGATGGATTGGTTTCTGAAAGGCTGCAGGCACCAACAGACGTGATCAACCTTTCCCCCCCTACATGCGCAGTGACAGGTGATAGAATGAAGGAAATCTCAAGATGTTCTTTCCAAAGCACTTCAGAATCCTGCTCACACCCATGCAGAAGCAGATTGATTGCACTGGGTTCTAGGCAGCAATGGAGTAAGGAAGAACTGGAATTTTGAGGCAGAATCTGACAGGTACCCCTGACACTACAATGACTTACAGGTCCCTCCATCTGAATTTTAAAGAGAATGAAAATAAAGGGTCTCTCTCTCTCTCTCTCTCTCTCTCTCTCTCTCTCACACACACACACACACACACACACACACTTACTTCAGAGCTATGATGGATTTTCAATTACACAGCTAGACAACTGTGAAATCTAACGCCTACAGGTTTTATAATACAATTGACCAATAGATAAATCAATAGATATCAACATAAGAGAGCTCTCGAGTCACCCAATTTTTTTTAACCAACACACAAACAGATTTGAGATAGGAAATAATGACCCAGACAATATAAAGTCATTTGATTTCTCTGGGCCTCCTGAACACTACCTGGGCGAAAACTGGCCATTTCAGATTGTTTATCTTTCTACCTGTATTATCTCAATAGCTATATTTACAACCTACCTTTTATTATATTATCATAAAGGGCAACTTAGAAAAGACCATTAAAAACCATAAAATATATTTTTAAAAAAACAATAAATAATCAAATAACCAATTTATGCAAAACAATGCAGCCATGGGTCTTCTTAAAAAGTCATTAAAACATATCCATATTAAAACTATAATCAAACAAATATCAATAGCCTTCTGAAAGAAAAATGCATCCAATGCACAATTTAAATGTGCAGAAGAAAGGCAGCTGACAACATTACCCCAGAGAAAAAGCTCCATAGCATTGGTGTCAATGCCATAGAGGCGCTGCATCTTTTAAACTGTTTTTGCCAATTGAGTCTGTTTCAGTGGGAGACAAGAGAGCAGAGCCTGAGATGACGGTCTTAAAACCTGGGGAAGTTCAAACGGCCAAAAGTGAACTTTTGTACAAGCAGGTCTGTGATTATTTTGGGTGGGGCATGCGATAGCTGATCACTAGGATCTCCTGTAGACTGCACCCTCTGCTGATAATCCCTTTTCAGTGGAACTTGGATGCTCAATTATGCTTCTCAAAAAATCCTGGAAAGCCTCCTATACCATCCCCCGCACACTAGAAGGTATCTCCTATGTATTACTGTTTTCCTTTTACAAGACTAATTTGACATGGTTACCTTATCCTTCTTTTCAGAGCCTGACGCTTCGAGTTTGGTTCGGATCACAAAAGGCGTAGACAGTCTCAGGAGGACTAGCTCAAATGTGGCACTGATCTTTGGAGAAACAATCTCAAAGCAGTCTTGGAACTTCAGGGCCTTGTGGGCATCACACTTGAGTTGTTTCCTGAGTCCTTCCCCTAACTGCAGGACCACCATGGTGGGGTCGAACATCAGATGGAAAGGGAAAGCTCGGCAGAAGGTGTTGATGCTTATCCTCAGGTCTGAGGGAGACTGGGAGGTCCCTAGTGGAAGTACTTTTGTGATATTTGCATTTTCACGTTCGTTGATAATAAAAGTGAGACAGCTGCAGTTGCCGGGGTTGGAGTCCTCAGCACTCAATTTATCATTCGTGATCTGTTCAACCTCAACTTCCAGTTGGTAGATCTTCCTCGCAGCAGCCTTAACCATACCCATCATGGCAAAACCAACAATCTGATGTGGGTGGAAATAGTGGAGCATAAGGTTGCCTTCAGGGAGCTCCTTGCATAGGAAAGAAGGCGATTCTGACATGGCCTGCCTTCCAAACGAAGTCCTGATATGCTCCAGCAAAGCATCAAACCCATTAAAGAAATCTTGCAAGGTGCCGCCCACAGCGCGGAGAACTCGCTCATTCTCATCGAAGCAGATGTTGAAGAACTCCGCTCCAAATTTCTCTTGCAGTTCTTCAAACTTCAAGCCTGGAAAGCAATGTATAGATATGATATCAGCCTGACACCAGTGTGGCATATCAGTGATGCTGCGTAACTATGAAAGGGTTGTGGAGATGCATTCAATACTTATACTACTTCAAACCAAAAAGGTGATCCTCCGTTTTAGCATCCAGTTTAGACAACATATTACCAATATGCCATAGCCTAATCTTGAGGCAGAGTGGCAGCAGCATAAGCATCACCCCTGGCTATTAGTCACATGATGAGTCACATGATGGGTCCACTGGGATTTTGGGAGGGAGGGACATTTATCCAATTAGATACTAGCCCATAAATAAGAAATTATCAAAAGTTTTACATAACATTACAAAAATATGCCCTGGAGATATAACTATATATATATATACACTATGTGCTTTAAAAATTCTTATAAAATATCCTGTATACAAGATACTTCATGTTTTGGCATGAAAAATTGAAAAAATATGTATATATTTACACACAGAGACACAACTTTTAAAACTGGCTGCACAGTCATCTTTCATATCAGCTGCCTACCTGTGTGTTTTTTATAGCATGCTACGAGCCCCTTGAGGTGGGATATACATCAAATAAATAAATGGAATAGAGGCAATGCCTCAAATCCCAACTCTGAACTACAAATAAAACTTCCTTTGTAGACCTCTCTCACCACTTCCTTAGCAACTGGAATATTAGGCTATTCTTTTTCAGGGGCCAGTTTAGGCCCAGGGATGTTCAGTCACTGAGCTATACTATCCATTCTAGACAAATGAGCCAGATGAACTTCACGCAGCAACTGTGGCAACGAATTGCTTGTTATTGTTGCATTTTCACTGGCAGAAATAAGAAGAGACGCATCTGGTGCTGCCTCCTCTGCTGATGTAACTTGACAGATTTTGGTTCCTGGCCACTTTGACTTGGAGCGTGTGACATTTGCTGTCCTGCCTCAGGAAGAAATAAGTCTTAAGCCAGTCCTGTCAGGTATGTAAAGCGGATCCAAATTGCCGTACACTTTTGTACACACTGCTGGAAGATTGAGAAAAGATGTCCAGTGGGCTCCCCATCTTTGTAACGTGAAAAGAAAAGGAAAAGCAACCTTCATGGCCCAGAAGACTGTCCAGTAGCACAATTATTTGAAGACCACGGTATCTGTAAACTATACCATTTGTGTTTTGAAAAAAGACAGGAAGAGTAATAATCATAAGCCCCGATTGAAATGGATCCAGACTTTCCTAGAATGCCTGCAACTGATCAGCCACCACCCTCTCAACTAACTTGTATTGAGTCATGGGGAAAGCAGTACACCAATGCGCACGTCCCATGCTATCCCGCTGGTCCAACGACAGGTGGAGACTCTCCAGGCCTGGGCCTGAATGGGCAGAGAACCTGCCGACCTTAATAGATGTTGTATGGACTATGGCAACACCTCCTCCTTGCCCCTCTGATCTGCCATGATGCTGGATGGAATATCCTGGGGAGCATATCTCAAAAAGGTTGATCCCACCTTCCATACCCACCCAGAGTATTGCATAATATTGTATAACAGAAATCCAGGTTTCCGTTACACAAACCACGTCAGCTTTTTTTCCCTATAAGATCACAAATTAATTCAGATTTATTTCGGACCAACCTGGCATTTAGCAGCAGCATGCACAGATCAGATGGTTGGCTAGTAAGGTTACCTTGATTCTGCCAGCTTAAGAGGACCAGAGCATGAGACAGATATATCTGGAGCATGCTCTCCTGTAACAGCCTGTCTTCCTCCCTATGAATCTCCCTCTACCCATTATCAATGATATAATACTGCTCCTGGTAACCTCAACAATGATTAGCTACCAGACAGCACTCCTCTTCCTTCCCTTAGCTGTCTAGCATCAATAATGCACTGGACCAGTGCCAACAAACAAGATGAATCCAGAATAACACAGAAAATCTACTGTTAGGAGGATTGCTGGACTGTTTAGAAAGAAACGTACCTGGCCTTGATGGGGTTAAAGATAAAGGTAAATGTTCCCCTTGACATTTTTTTTTGTCCAGTCATGTCTGACTTTAGGGGGTGGCGCTCATCCCGTTTTCAAGCCGTAGAGCCAGCGCTTGTCCAAAGACAGTTTCCGTTGCCACGTGGCCAGCGTGACTAGGGAACGCCGTTTTACCTTCCCACCGAGATGGTACCTATTTATCTACTCGCATTTGCATGCTTTCGAACTGCTACTGTAGGTTGGCGAGGAGCTGCGGCAAAGTGATGGGAGCTCACACCGTCGCGTGGATTCGATTTTACGACTGCTGGCCTTCTGACCCTGCAGCACAGGCTTCTGTGGTCTCCTTAAAGGACTTGGTCTGCAGTTTACTTCTGGACCTGACACTCTCTATCAAGGCTCAAATATCAGCTATGGCCTGGAGTGCCTTTTATCAACTCCAGACGACCAGTTGTGTCCCTACCTGGATAATAAATGCCAAATGCAGCACTACTATAATGCTCTCTACATAGGGCTGCTCTTGAAAACAGTACAGAAACTTCAGAAGATCCAAAATGTAGCAGCCAGACTGATTTCCGGGACTAATAAATCTGATTATGTATCCCCAGTCTTGGGGTACCTCCACTGGCTCCCTGTCAGTTTCCATGCCTAATTCAAGGTACTAGGTATGACCTATAAAGCCCCTGATTGTTCAAGGCTTCAATACTCATCAGAATGTCTCTCCCAGAAATCAGTGACCTGTTTGATCTGCTCCTCTCAATCCATAGTGCTAAAAGTGCCACGCTGAGGGAGGCCAGAAAGGTGAAGACAAGGAATTGGGCTTTTTTGGTAGTGGTCTCCAGTCACTGGAACAGCTTACTAGTGGAGATATGACAGGCTCCTTCCCTTCTTATGTTCAGGAAATTGTTGGAAATAGAATTATTCAAAACTGCCTTCAACAACTGAGTCTCCTGGATGCTATTAATACTTTTTTCTTACTTTTTCTCTGTTGTTTTTTGTTTGTTTGTTTTTTTAATCGCCATATTGTCTTATGAATTGTTATATGACGTCTGAGGGGTTTTTAAGTTTAAACTCATGAACTGCCTAGAATAATGTGTGCACTAATGGGGCAGTACATAAATCAAATAAAAATAAATAATATTTTTTAGCTTTCCTTAGCTCTTCTCATAGAAGCTCATGCTTTTGATTAACAAAAAGGTCACAGTACCGGGAACGAATAGTTCCTGGAGAACAGACCACAGAATGAAAATTTGCAACAAAAATGGTCTTGTTTGGGTAAACTATTACCTTGAAGGGCTGATTTAAGACAGCAACCTGTTTTAAGATGGCTCCCAATCTTTTGAACTTTACTATCTTTCCTGAGAAGTGGCTCTTTTAAAGATTTTACCCTTCAGTAGCAATTACCTCAGGGCAAAAAAATAATTTCTTTTCTGCACAGCACCAGCAAGAGGGAAAAGGTAACATGGAAACTGAGCTTTCTAAGAATGATCAAACGTATCTGTAGCAATCTTTTTGACATTTGGGGGTGATCAAGGAACTCTCTTGCCTAATCTAGCAAAGAATTATGGGAAGGTTTTTCAAAAGCCCAGTCTCCATGGCAGCAATTCCACTCACCCCCTCCAGAAACCTGTCAAATACCACTGACTTTTAACAGGATACTGTGCAAAGAAAGCTTGTGCGATATACTGGTTAGAGTCGGATTGGGTTATGAGACAGATGGGTTCTAGTTCTCACGGAATCGTGGAAATTGCTGGATGACCTTGGGTCGGTCACTGTTTTTCAGTTTGATCCACTTCACAGGATAGAGTGGGAAAGTTAAGGTAAGGAGGATGAGAGCTCTATACATCACCCTGAGCTCAATGGAGAAAAGGTGGTGTATAAATGTAACTAATACAGTGGTGCCCCACTTGACGATGACCCGTTAGATGATGAAATTGCTTTACAATGAGTTTTTTTGCGATCACTATTGCGATCGCAAAACAATGGTTCCTATGGGGTTTTTTCGCTTGACGTCGATTAGGTGCCTGCTTCGAGAAACATTTGTTCGCAAAACGATGATTTTTCCGGCTCCACAAAATGGCTTCCCTTCGTAAAATGGCTTCCCTCCCTTCTCAAAATGTCTGATTTCTGGACCCCTGCTTTGGAAGACAGCCATTTTAAACAGCTGATCGGCGGTTCTCTATGGGCAATCTTCGCTGGACGATGAGGTATTTCCCTATTGGAATGCATTAACCAGTTTTCAATGCATTCCAATGGGTTTTTTTTTCGCTTGACAACAATTTCAGTTCCAATGGGTTTTTTTTCCGCTTGACAACAATTTGAGTTAACAGTGATTTTCCTGGAACGGATTATCGTCGTCAAGCGGGGCACCACTGTATATTTTTAAAGAGTTACTTATCGTCGTCAAGCGGGGCACTACTGTACATTTTTTAAAAAGTTAGAGGATGGGGTGCCGCATAAACCACAACAGCAGAGAACGTATGACTCTTGAATTCCAAAACATAGAAACAGCTGCCTCAGGCAACAGGTTCTGGATTTCATAAGAAGTGAAATGTTTGCTATTCAATTTCTCCCTGGCAAGAATGTGGAAAGGTACTTCTGCTGTAATAAGATGCCTGGCTTTGAATGTTTTCTACCTTGATTTGGATTGCTGGGGAGACTGTCTTTTGCTGCTGTGCCCCAAACAGTAAAAAATCTTGGACTTGCCCCATAGACAATGTTGGCAGGGAGAAAGAAAAAACTCAGGATTGGTATCTATCACAGCAAAGTTCAATAGCCTGATCTTTAATATATCAATGATATGAGGAAGATTTTTTTCCAGTTTCTAGAATGGAGATTTTTCTAAGGAATTAATTAGCAACATAATGAAGAGTTAACAAATAAGACAAATTTGACACTTCCAAAAGTTGTAATTAACCTTTTACGGGTGACTCCCCTAGTAACTATGTGATCCAAACGCTTAATTCTTTCAACATGTTCATGTTGAAATGTTAACATTTTTCGGTGTCTCCATTTGAGTTCCTGACATTT